TTCCTGACGCAGGATCATGTAAGAGAATGAGTCCTGGGCATGGACTCAGTGGCCGTGAGTCTTACCCCAGCTTTGTATAACTTTGTATAACTTCTTTCAGACTTATTAGTTATATGAGTCAAAGAGAGTCCGAATCAGTTAAGTTTTTTTAAAAATATATTTGTATTGATTTCAGAGAGGAAGGTGTTGTATCATAAATCAGTAAATGAGATACAAGACGCCTTAATAAGCCAATTAATTAGGAGTCGTTTATTGTGGCGGCCCAGAGGGAGGTGTCTCTTCCAAATCTCTGAGCACCGCATACAGGAAGTCTCCCGTATTTGTACTTTTCAAGCCTCTTTGTTTCAGAGATTTTTTTAAAAAATAAGTCTTTATTGTTCAGATTATTACAGTTGTTCCTCTTCCCCCCCCCCCATAGCTCCCCTCCACCCATTTCCCACCGCACCCCATGCCCTTACCCGCCCCCCCCCCCACTGTCCTCATCCATAGGTGTAAGATTTTTGTCTAGTCTCTTCCCGCACCCCCCACACCCTTTCCCCCCAAGAATTGTCAGTCCACTCCCTTTCTATGCCCCTGATTCTATTATATTCACCAGTTTATTCTGTTCACCAGATTATTTATTCACTTGATTTTTAGATTCACTTGTTGATAGACATGTATTTGTTGTCACTTTGTTGTTCATAATTTTTTATCTTTACCTTTTTCTTCTTCCTCCTCTTCTTAAAGAATACCCTTCAACATTTCATATAATACTGGTTTGGCGGTGATAAACTCCTTTAGCTTTTTCTTATCTGTAAAGCTCTTTATCTGACCTTCAATTCTAAATGATAGCTTTGCTGGGTAGAGTAATCTTGGTTGTAGGTTCTTGCTATTCATCACTTTGAATATTTCTTGCCACTCCCTTCTGGCCTGCATAGCTTCTGTTGAGAAATCAGCTGACAGTTGTATGGGTACTTCCTTGTAGGTAACTGTGTTTCTTTCTCTTGCTGCTTTTAAGATTCTCTCTTTGTCTTTTGCTCTTGGCATTTTAATTATGATGTGTCTTGGTGTGGTCCTCTTTGGATTCCTTTTGTTTGGGGTTCTCTGCACTTCCTGGACTTGTAAGTCTATTTCTTTCACCAGGTAGGGGAAGTTCGCTGTCATTATTTCTTCAAATAGGTTTTCAATATCTTGCTCTCTCTCTTCTTCTGGAACCCCCATAATTCGGATGTTGGTACGCTTGAAATTGTCCCAGAGGCTCCTTACACTATCTTCATATTTTTGGATTATTTTTTCTTTTTGCTTTTCCGGTTGATGTTTTTTGCTTCTTCATATTTCAAATCTTTGACTTGATTCTTGCGCTCCTCTAGCCTGCTGTTGGATTTCTGTATATTATTCTTTATTTCAGTTAGTGTGTGCTTAATTTCTAATTTGTCCTTTTTCATATCCTTGAGGGTCTCACTAAATTTCTCAGAGGTTTCTAGAAGATTCTTGAGTAACCTTATAACCATGGTCTTGAATTCTATATCCAGTAGTTTGCTTTCCTCCATTTCTGTCATTTATGACCTGTTTCTTTGTCTCCTCATTTTGGCTGCTTCCCTGTGTTGATAGAGTGGCTTTTGTGCTAGGTGTCCTATAGGGCCCAGTGGCTCAGCCTCCCTAGTCACCTGAGGTGAACACTCTTGGTGCACCCCTTTGTGGGCTGTGTGCACAGTCTTGTTGTAGTTAAGCCTTGATTGCTGTTGGTATCACTGGGAGGAATTGACCTCCAGACCAATTGGCTGTGAGGCTCAGTTTTGTCTACAATGGGAGAACTGCTATGCTGGAAACACCCTTATATGGGGCAAGACTTGCTTCAGTGGGGCTTTGGTGCTCACTGAGTCTGCCCCCTGAGTGTGTCTCTTATGGATGTGAAGAGTTGTAATCTAGTATGCTCTCACTTTGACCACTGGGTACACTGGCTCTTGGATCTCTAAGGAGGTGCAAAGTCAGCCACTGCCTGAGGCCATCCAGCAGGATCTACAGAGAGATCTGCAGATTCCTCCTCTTTGTTTGGGGTTTGGAGGTGCCCACATGAGGTGCAGCTGTGAAGCAATGCATGTTGCTGATGAGCCTTAGGCCTTCTTTTGGAAGCTCTGGGGTCCTTTAATCCAGCTGCAGTTTGTTAGGTTAGGTTGCTAAAGGCCAGACCATTCATATGCAAAAGCTTCTGCACACAGCTTGGGTGGGGTTGTAAGTTGGGTGGGGCGTGGTCTCAGGGAATCATAGGGCGGTGCAAACAGCAATGGTTGCCGGTCGGCCCTGCCCTGGATAGGTCCCCGGGTCTCTGTGTCCCGTGGCCCCGTGAAGGAACAATGAACGCTGCAAGCACCTCTGAGAGAAAGCTGCCCTCATGTTCCAGCCCAATGCCAGACAGTCCAGTTTCTCCCCATATGTGTCTGGGTCCCCAGAGTCACCTGGTACTGGAGTTCAGAACAGTCGGGAGTTTGCATCTCCCTCCCACTTGAAAAAGACCACACCGTACCCAGTTGCCAGCCGGTACCTATGCTCTTCCACACCTGTGCACCTCCTAGCAGTCTAGATGTGCTTTTTGTTATGGGTTCAATCAGCAAGATAGACCACTGACTCAGAATTTAAATTTAGGAGCCTTTATTAAGCTGGCCAGCTCACTATAGCTGCATCCCTCCCCCTCTGGGAGCCTCGCAGCTTGTAGTGCAGACTAAGGGTCCTGTAAGGCTTTTATTGGCGAGAACTACAAAGCATTAACTGGCAGGGTTAAAAGTTCAGTAGGAAAACAGGGTCACACCTGGCTGGAGCATATCATAACACTTTGTTTCTTAAGACAACTAGTAATTTTTCTCTGCCACGGTCCCTGACCCTGACACAATCGGTAACCTTTCCATGCCGCAGTCCCTCCCTCTAGCATATTCCGTAACCTTTCCATGCCGCAGTCCCTCCCTCTAGCATATTCCGTAACCTTTCCATGCCTCAGTCCCTCCCTCTAGCATATTCCGTAACCTTTCCATGCCACAGTCCCTCCTCCTAGCACATTCCTTACTGGTCTTATGCCCGAATCAAATCTTTGATTCAGGGCCCTCCTCTACGATATGAAATTGAGGAGGCATTTGGCAATGTAGGGGTTGAGCCGCCGGGGAAGAGTCCGGCATTGGATGGTGAAGAATTGGCCAGGGTCTCAGCTGCTGACATAGAGTCTTAGTCCCCACATCTTTCTCCTTCCTATTGGTCAGTCCACCAGGCGAGAGGCATGAGGAGGACGGGGTTACAATTTCCAGTGCCTCTTTCCTGCGACTTTGATGGCGGTTCGAGTGCTCAGCACCACCTGGTAGGGTCCATCCCATCTAGGTTCCAGGCTGCTAGGGTTGTGGCGCTTCACCCAGACGAGATCACCCGGAGAGAAGGCAGGCTGTGTTGGACTGGATCTCAGCACGTCCTCCTCCCGTATGGCTCTCACCACCCATTGTGCCGACGTGGCGCTGCTCTGCAAAGCCTGTAAGGACTTAAGCAAATTTCGGGTAGACAGCCAGGCAAGATCTTCCTCCCTTAGGTAGGGAAGGAGAGGTGGTGGCCTGCCAAACATACGGGATGTACCTAGCTCTGAGGAGAGCAAGAGGAAGGAGACTTACCCAGTTTTTTCCAGTCTCTAATTTTAACTTAGTTAATGTTTCCTTTAAGATCCGATTTATCCTCTCTACCTGTATAGAACTCTGTGGTCTATAAATACAATGCAATTTTAAAGTAACTCTCAGGGCCTTAACTATGGATTGTGTAACTTTGGCGATAAACGCCGGGCCATTGTCGGACCCCATGTATAGTGGTAGGCTAAACCGGGGGACAATTTCAGTGAGGAGTTTCCTAACTACTACCTGTGCTGTCTCTGTCTTGGTTGGGTATGCCTCAGGCCAGTTAGAGAAGGTATCAATGAAAATCAGCAAGTATTTATACCCTCCTTGTCTTCCTGGTATCTCGGTGAAGTCCACTTCCCAGTGTTCTCCGGGGTTCTGACCTCGGAATCACTGTCCCGGCGCGGCCACAACAGGGGGCCCTTGATTTAACCGGGCACACACTTGGCACCTTCTAACCAAGTCTTGGGATATTTTCTGGAGCCCTGGGATGTAAAATTCTCTTCCCAGTAGTTCTGATAGCTTCATTCCCCCCAGGTGGGTACTCTGGTGGGTCTGGGAAGCGATGGTCTGCCTCAGGGCTTCTGGCACTATAGGCCTCCCGTCTGGCAGAATTAGCCATCTAGCCTCTCCTTCCCAGGCCCTTAGTTTCTCAGCTAGCCTCTGCTCCTCTGGCAGATGAGTAGGCTTCTCTGGGAGCCTTCTGGCAGGGCTACGAGAACTTCTAGGGCCCTACTGGTCTTTTGGCCACTTCCTTGGCCCCTATATGGCTGCCAGGAGGTTGAGTATCTCAGGAGCATTTTTAATGTCCTTTCCTCCTGAGGTCAAGAGACTTCTTTAAGGTGGCTCCCGTGTCCTTCTGTAAGGGCAGTGTGAGGAAATATATCCCTGCAGTCCCTGGGTAGGTCTGGCAGGACGAGTGCCGGGGCCCTCACCAGGGCTTCTTTCTAATCCTGGCAGATTGTAGATCTCCCCTGGCTCCTCCTTATGTCACTACTGCCCGACCCGCCCCCACCCCCACCCCCACCCCCGCATACCGGGTACCTTCCTCTACGAAGCTGCTCCTGTCCGTCCGTGTAGAGGGTCTTATCCGGATTCTGTAGGGGCTGGTCCATAAGGTCCTCACGGAGGGAAGTGAAGGTAGTCAGTGTCTCCTCGCAGTCATGCAAAGGGGCCTCTGCCTCCTCGTCAGGGGTCAGGGAGGAGTGTGGCAGGGTTCAAGGCAGCTGTTTTCAGGAAGCTGAAATGTTTACTCTTTTTTTCCTTTCCCCATTAGAGGGCTTGAGTGAGTGCTATGAGTTCCATAAGGAAGTCCACCTTTTGGCCCTCCACTGTCAGGGTTATCCTGGGTTCTCGGGGGCCAGCTGAGCTCTGACAACCCTAATCCACCTCCTCCACCAACACAGGAGTTGGTTCCCCCCGCACGTTCAGGGCACTCCCTTTTCCAATGTCCCTCCTTTCTGCAAAATGCACATTGATTGTTCCCAAGCCTGGTTGGACTCCTTTTCTTCTGTGAGGCTTTTCTTGGCCCTTGTCTCTCTGGCCTCTTGGGCCTTTTTCCTCGCTTATGGCCAGGAGGACCTTTACCATTCGGGTGTTTAAACCTGCCATCGGGTCCTCCTGATTGTTAAAAACCTTCTGGGCCACCTCAACCAACTTGGAGATTGATTTCCCCTCAAAGCCCTCTAACTTCTGCAATTTTTTCCTAATATTTGGGGCCGACTGGGAAACAAATGTAACATTTACAGCCCTCTGATTTTCCGGGGCATCAGGGTTAGGCCCCTGGACTGTCTCTGTCACTTTAGAGAGGTTTGTGGGTCTCCGAGCAGCAGCTCGGATGCCTCCCAACAGAGTCTGGAGATAGCGATCGAGAGCCTCCTTTCCACTGTCACTATAGGGGTTCCAGTTGGGTCTCCTGGAGGGAAACACAGCCTCTAATCTGTCTTTAAATGGTAAGAAGAAATTTACAATGTGTCTATATTTAAATAGATAGTTACAGCTGTTCCTGTAGTAGGGCTCCCCTTACTTGACTTGTTCTCTCAGAATGGACTAAAGGAGCTTTATTTCCTTACAGGGTCTTACATGTCACAGGACCTCACAGGGTCTGTAATTCCTGTAACAGAGGGCTAGTATTCACCACTTTACTAACCCCCTCTGTTCTAGACAAGCCTTCCCCAGTTTGCTACAGTTGAGCTTTTGTGCTACCCCTGACATGGGCATGGTCACACAGGCCTGCAAGACAGTATACAGGTTGCTAACTGTCAACTGTCTCTCAATAGAGACCAAAACTTAATGGGTATTCTTCTTTGCCCAGTTGGGCACCTGCCCTCTCAGCAGCTAGGCACCCTTTACTTTTGAGGTTCACCCCATATAGCCCCCTTCTTGGACAGCTAACACATAGCCATAACAATGGCCCTCAGTGTGGGAGACTGGACACTTGCCAGTTACTCCCAAAGACTACCAAGGACTGTAGACCATCACCAGTCTACAGCAACTGTTGGCAGCTACAGCTACATTCAAACCTGTAAGAGAATCAAAGGTTAATACAACATATTAATACAATGAAACATAATATTGGCACCATGGCTGCTTCAGGCAGCTAAATCTTCTGCTACTAAACATGACATATGGTAGGGCTATACATTTTAGGGAGGTGACTAAAGTCTATTATTGACCTTCCTATACAAGGCAAAATTGTCCTTGTCTCTCTGGAGCCATGTCCATGAAGATGCAGGCATCATCTAAGTCTATTATACAGTTTTCTGCAGGCTACTGTCAGGGCTGTGCATTGCGGCCAGTTCTTCTTTCTAGCCACAAAAACAGTTTGTCCAATTTCCTTAAAATGTATTCTGGCATAGGAGAAAATTGTTTTGCTGTACACAGGTAGCTTAACCTCTATACAACTGGGCTTGGACCTCTGCCTAGCAAACTGTAGTCTGTAAGTTCAATATGCAGCCACCGGTCCTCCTAACCCAATGAAGTTTCAGCCAGTCTCTGAGTCAGACTCCTCCTCTCTTAGAGCATTTCAAAGTCCTGATGGCTCCCAGGTCCAGGGAGAGTGCCCTTTTCTTTGCCCTTTTGTTAACCCTGTTTATTATTTACAGGGCCCTGCTTTCCTTGTCTTCCCACCAGTCCCCTTGGCAGAGCAGCAACCAGGCCTCTTCGAAGGCAGTACACTGGAAGGGGATATCAGCCCCTTCTCTTCCAGCAGCAACAGGTACTAAACCCTTTCAGCACATTTGCAAACAGGGACCTTTTACTAGAGAGAACCAAGATGGCGGCATAGGTTAACGCCGGAGTTTGCTGCTTTGAACAACTACTTCAAAAGTGAAACCAAAAAACGGAAGGGACATCACCCAGAACCACAGGAACGCTGGCTGAGTGGAAGTCCTACAACTAGGAGGAAAGAGAAACGCATACGGACACTCAGAGGAGGCGCAGTGCTGAAGTCAAATTCTGAGGTGCGGAGTGCGCGGTTGGCGTTTTCAATCGGGAGGGAGTCGCAGACTCTGAGCTCCAGATCCGGGCGAATCTTTAGCGACCCAGACTCAAACGGGAGAAGCGGGACTGTCTGGCTTCGGTCAGAGCGAGTGCAGCTTTCTCTCTGAGCTTTGCAGCGGGTGCTGGGACTCAGAGAGGCAGAGCCCCTGGGGACAGGACTGAGAGCCGCCATAACTGCTCTCTCCGGCCCACCCTGTTGATCCTGTTCTACCCGCCCCGCCCAAGCCCTGCACACAGGCATTTGCCGGATAGCCTCAGGCAAAGGCTAGATTAGCACCTCCCTAGAGGACAGAAGTTCTCTCACTACTGACACAGCTGATTCTCATAGCCACTTGGCCTAGAGGTCAAACCCTCCCTGGAATTAGCTACAACAATCAAGATTTAACTATAAGACTGCAAACAAAGACCACTAGGAGGTGCACCAAGGAAGCATAACAAAATGCGGAGACAAAGAAACAGGACAAAATTGTCAATGGAAGATATAGAGTTCAGAACCACACTTTTAAGGTCTCTTAAGAACTGTCTAGAAGCCGCCGATAAATGTAGTGAGATCCTCAAGAAATCTAATGAGACCCTCGATCTTATATTGGGGAACCAACTAGAAATTAAGCATACACGGACTGAAATAACGAATATTATACAGACTCCCGACAGCAGACCAGAGGAGCGCAAGAATCAAGTCAATGATTTGAAATGCGAGGAAGCAAAAAACACCCAACCGGAAAAGCAAAATGAAAAAAGAATCCAAAAATGCGAGGATAGTGTAAGGAGCCTCTGGGACAGCTTCAAGCGTACCAACATCAGAATTATAGGGGTGCCAGAAGATGAGAGAGACCAAGATATTGAAAACCTATTTGAAGAAATAATGACAGAAAACTTCCCCCACCTGGTGAAAGAAATGGACTTACAGGTCCAAGAAGCGCGGAGAACCCCAAACAAAAGGAATCCAAAGAGGACCACACCAAGACACATCATCATTAAAATGCCAAGAGCAAAAGATAAAGAGAGAATCTTAAAAACAGCAAGAGAAAGAAACTCAGTTACCTACAAGGGAATACCCATACGACTGTCAGCTGATTTCTCAACAGAAACTTTGCAGGCCAGAAGGGAGTGGCAAGAAATATTCAAAGTGATGAATACCAAGAACCTACAACCAAGATTACTTTATCCAGCAAAGCTATCATTCAGAATTGAAGGTCAGATAAAGAGCTTCACAGATAAGGAAAAGCTAAAGGAGTTCATCACCACCAAACCAGGATTATATGAAATGCTGAAAGGTATCCTTTAAGAAGAGGAAGAGGAAGAAAAAGGTAAAGATACAAATTATGAACAACAAATATGCGTCTATCAACAAGTGAATCTAAGAATCAAGTGAATAAATAATCTGATGAACAGAATGAACTGTTGATTATAATAGAATCAGGGACATAGAAAGGGAATGGACTGACTATTCCTGGGGGGGAAAGGGGTGTGGGAGATGCGGGAAGAGACTGGACAAAAATCGTGCACCTATGGATGAGGACAGTGGGTGGGGAGTGAGGGCGGAGGGTGGGGCGGGAACTGGGAGGAGGGGAGTTATGGGGAGAAAAAAAGAGGAACAAATGTAATAATCTGAACAATAAAGATTTAATTAAAAAAAAAAGAATCAAAAAATAAATAAATAAATAAATAAATAACAGTCAAACAAAGATAAAAAAAAAAAAAAAAAAAAAAAAAAGAAGACCCACTACATGGGAGAACATATTTGCCAATGATACCACCGATAAGGGTTTAATTTCCAACATTTACAGGGATCTCATGAAGCTTAACAAAAGGAAGATAAACAATCCAATAAAAAAATGGGCAACGGACCTAGATAGACACTTTTCGAAAGAGGACATACAGAAGGCCGAAAGACATATGAAAACCTGCTCAAAGTCACTAATTATACGAGAGATGCAAATCAAAACGACAATGCGTTATCATCTCACACCTGTCAGAATGGCTATCATCAACAAATCAACAAACAACAAGTGTTGGAGAGGATGTGGAGAAAAAGGAACCCTTCTGCACTGCTGGTGGGAATGCAGACTGGTGCAGCCACTGTGGAGAACAGTATGGAGCTACCTCAGAAGACTAAAAATGGAACTCCCATTTGACCCAGTGATCCCACTACTAGGAATATATCCCAAGAAACCAGAAACGCCAATCAGAAAGGATATATACACCCCTATGTTCATAGCAGCACAATTCACCATAGCTAAGATTTGGAAACAGCCTAAGTGCCCATCAGCAGATGAGTGGATTAGAAAACTGTGGTACATATACACAATGGAATACTTGCTGCGGTAAAAAAAAAAGGAACTCTTGCCTTTTGCAACAGCATGGATGGAACTGGAGAGCATTATGCTAAGTGAAATAAGCCAGTCAGAGAAAGATAAATACCACATGATCTCACTCATTTGTGGATTATAGAGAACAACATAGACTGATGAAAAGGGACAGACCCAAAGACTGAGAAACAGCAATCAGGCTATCAATCCCCAGAAGGAAAGTAGGGGAGGGCGGGGGTAAGGGGAAGAGATCAACCGAAGGACTTGTATACATGTATATAAGCCAAACCAATGGACATGGACAACGGGGGGATGGGAGCATGAGTTTGTGTGTGGGGGGGGAGGTTGGGGGTTAATGGGGGGGATGAGGACACATTTGTAATACCTTAACTAATAATAAAAAAATAAAAAAAAAGAATATTGTACAGACACCCAACAGCAGACCAGAGGAGCGCAAGAATCAAGTCAAAGATTCGAAATGCGAAGAAGCAAAAAACACCCAACTGGAAAAGCAAAATGAAAAAAGAATCCGAAAATATGAAAATAGTGTAAGGAGCCTCTGGGACAGCTTTAAGCATACCAACATCAGAATTATAGGGGTGCCAGAAGAGGAGAGAGAGCAAGATATTGAAAACCTATTTGAAGAAATAATGACAGAAAACTTCCCCCACCTGGTGAAAGAATTAGACTTACAGGTCCAGGAAGCGCAGAGAACCCCAAACAAAAGGAATCCAAAGAGGACCACACCAAGACACATCATAATTAAAATGCCAAGAGCAAAAGACAAAGAGAAAATCCTAAAAGCAACAAGAGAAAGAAACTCAGTTACCTACAAGGGAATACCCATATGACTGTCAGCTGATTTCTCAACAGAAACTTTGCAGGCCAGAAGGGAATGGCAAGAAATATTCAAAGTGATGAATACCAAGAACCTACAACCAAGATTACTTTATCCAGCAAAGCTATCATTCAGAACTGAAGGTCAGATAAAGAGCTTCACAGATAAGGAAAAGCTAAAGGAGTACATCACCACCAAACCAGTATTATACGAAATGCTGAAAGGTATCCCTTAAGAAGAGGAAGAAGAAGAAAAAGGTAAAGA